AGTTTCGACAAAAATTAATTTTTAAGAGTTCCAGTAGTTCTGATTACGAATTTTGCTAGTACTTCGAGAATTCTGAAGAAAATTATTATGGCCGAAAGCGATCAGATCAATAATTAAAGAGTTATTCAATTGTAAAGAACGTCTGTTCACGAAATTTTCTAAGTTTAAAAATCTTTAAAATCAAATGCCTCTTTAATTATTGATTGGATCGTTTTCGGCCATAATAATTTTCTTCAGAACTCTTGATTTACTAGCCAGAACACGTGCCAGAACTACTGGAACTCTTAAAAATTTATTTTTGTCGGAACTTGGAAAATTTCGATACCGAGGATTTTCAGAATCGAATTACTCTTTAATTATTGATCGGATCGTTTTCGACCATAATAATTTTCTTCAGAACTTTTGATTTAATAGCCAGAACGCGTGTCAGAACTACTGGAACTGTGATTTCACGAATCAAAGTGCTACCAAACTGCGATTTTTTAAAGTTATATTTCGAAAGTTTGGTTGAATGTAATTTTTTAAAAACTATCAGGAACTCTTCATTATATGTCAAACTATTATAATTAATTATCAGAACTATTTAAAAAAAAAAAAAATTTTTTTTTAATTTTTTTAATTTTAATAAAATATTAAAAATATTTTTTATATATCAGGAACTCTAGCGGACGTAGAAACAAAGCAAATGAGCTATTCAGAACTATTCGATCTCGATTTTCGATGTGAAGTTAGCACCCCATTTTTCAGACTCAAATTTGGAACCGTTAATCGACGGAACTCTTTTTATCAACTATAGGGAACTCTTAAACTCTTCAAAAGGAAGCGGGAACTCATAACAGAACTATGGAATTTTAATGTCGGGGTGCTAACTTCACACACCTAGCGAACTCAAGCTGCGATAGAGTGAGTTCTGATTATTTGCTTAAAATGATATTTAAATCCTTTTACGTCAGCTTCCCAAAGTCCGCCGAAATGCACCAGGAGGTATAAAATGCCACTTTACTTGATGGTTAGCCATCGTGTTTTGAAAAGAAGTATCGGCCGTGATTTTTCAAAACGTGATCGTTAATTCGCGATCCGCTCCGCGAAAATTAGTACCGTTATCACTGTACATGTCAGACGGAAGACCTCGCCGACTAGTAAAACGCTTAAAGACAGCGAGAAACCCTGAAGTGGTGTAATCGTCTACATACTCTATAAATGTATGGCCTTCGTTGCTAAACAAATAAATACGGCAATATAATATTTTCGCGGTCGCTGACCTCTGCCGACGTACGGTATTATATTGATCGGTCCGGCATAATCAACTTCCGTGTATTTGAATGGAGCCGACGGAGTGACGCGCGGAGAGGGTAGATTTTCTATGAACTGTTGCGAAGGACGAGTACGTTCGCGAGCACATTATACGCATTAGCGGATATGTTTTTTAACGCTGGAACGTACTGTAATGATCCAGTAATTTTGTCGTGAAATTCGCAAGGTCAACTACGTGCCGCCGTGTAATACGACCTTGTATGCGTTATTAATCAATATAATTCTGAAATTCGGTGTTTAGGCAATATAATTGGATGTCGTTCGGAGAAATTCAATGGAGAATTTTTAATCCGCCCATCAAAGCGAATTAATTTTTCTTCTCCGACAAAAGGATGGAGAGGTCCAATGGGATAGATTTAGGAAGTAAATGATTATGGCGTAACGCTTAAATCTTGCTCGAAAAATGACGTTCTTGTATATACCAGAGCCAAAATAAGAAGGCTGTTTTTGCTTTGTCGACGGTTAATGATAATTTTGTTGCTTGTAACCTCGCGGTTGTATTTTTTAAATGATTGATAAAACGCGTGACTCGATTGATAAGCGGTAACTCGAATCAGTTTTTTCCAACTGGAGACTTCATATGGTACTCCCATTCGGTTTTGTTTTGAGCGTGACATACGATTGCCGTTCGTAATTCCGATTCAATAGTATCGCGATTAGCAGCGGACTCGAGGTGTAGTGTATCATGAATCGGCCATTGAAGAATTGGAAGAAGTGTGTAGCCAGGATGGGTCGTGCCACCAAAGTTCAAGGTCGTATAACTGCGTTGGCAATAAACCTCGCGATGCGCAATCTGCGGGATTTTCCTTAGACCGGACATGATTTAACGGAGGGCAGTCGCGTTTGTATTTCCGATACGCGGTTCGCGACGTATTTAGATGGATGTTCGCGTAACCACGCGAGAGCAACGGAGGAATCAGTCCATCCATATAATGGAATGTGCGGCAGACTTAACGATTTTATAATAAATGAAAATAACCGCGTTAATAAGACGATTGCAATTAACTCTAAGCGTGGTATGCTAATTGTTTTAATAGATGCTACTTTTGATTTCGCGGTTAATAATACCACGGAGAATTTGTTGAGCGAATGGAGGAGTCTGAGATAAACGACGACCGCGTACGCATGACTCGAAGCGTCGGCGAAACCGTGCAATTCGACGGCTAAAGTTGTTGATTGCATGCCGGTCCATCGTGGAATGCGTATTTCCCTTAACTCGGCGAATTCAGTACAATATTTTTTCCATAGCTCTAGGAGATCGTTAACTATAGGAAAATCGTATTTACCGATCCACAGCTCTTGGATCATTAATTTTAAGACGATCGTTACCGGTGTAGCCTATCCCAGCGGATCAAATAATTTGGTTATAAATGACAGAATCGATCATTTGGTTTTCATATCGTCTGTAGGCGGCTCGATATGAAAATGAAATGTATCATTTCGCGGAGTCCATGTAAGACCTTGAGATGATTATCGTAACAAATAAGCGTTCCGCGGCTAACTGATGTTTCTCTGGGTATAACGTACCGCTTTCCCGGTACAGCCGGATCGCTAAGTCGGGATCACAGTTCGAGAAAAAGTGATTCAAGAAACGTACGACTCGGTTTAAACAACGAAATTTAAAAAATGTTTATTGTGTGCTATATACAAGTGTACATGTATGTGTGTGTGTGTGTGTGTGTATGGGCGTGTGCGTAATCGCAAGTATGTATAATATTGATATGCGAGTATGTATGCGAACGCGAGCGTGCTATTACAATTGTACGCGAAGGTATGTGCGCTTGGATGTTTGCGTATATAACTGTGTGCGTGTATAAATGCAAGTATAAATGTATGCCAAATGTATGAGAACGAATGTGTACGTATAAATGTGTGCGTGTATGAATGCAAATATAAATGTATGCCGAATATATGAGAACGAATGTATGCGTGTAAATGTGTGCGTATATAAATGTATGCGGGTGCGTGTATGAATGTAAGTATAAATGTATGCCGAATATATATGAGAACGAATTTATGCGTGTAAGTGTGTGCGGATGCGTGTATAAATACGAGTATAAATGTACAGTTGAATGCGTGTACGGACGCGTGCTAATGTAAATGTACGCGGAGATATATATCTAGCGGTATATAGATTCGTGTGTTTGTATATGGCGGGGTGCGGGCCGGTGCAGCGGTGTTTCTACAGGTGCGGCGGTTATGTGCTCTGTAAAACAATGCCCCAAGTCGCTTATTAATTGCGCGAGATTTAATCGGTAGCGCGTAACGACGGCTTATCAAAGTGTCTCGGCGATAGGATTTAAAGGGCCGGGCCTTAAGGTCGTGTTTATTTTTGTTTCCCTGGCGCGGCGCGGTACGGGGCGCGGTGCGGTCCGCGTGTTGTTGGTATTGTGTCGCGGTTCTCTCCCTTCCGCGCGCTGAGAGAGAGAGAGAGAGAGAGGTGCGGGATTTTAGTAAGCTGGTCGCGATCTTCCTTTAACAAGGAAGCGTCGTCAGAGCCGAATAAAACATCGTCCATTGATTCTTGAATGATTTTCTTTGCTCGTGGGAAGACGTCCCAGTCAGAAATGTATAGTTGACTCGACGTCGAATCAACGTTGAAATCTGATGTCGAAGTATAGTCGAAATTTTGATCGATTTGACGTCGATCTCGTACCAAATATCAACCAATTTTCAATTATTATTTCAACGTCGTTTCAACGTCGAAATTTGATGGTATATATATATATATATATATATATATATATATAAAATAGTATACTTTATTATTTATTATTTTTAAGGTAAAAATACTAAAAAACAAAAAGTGCAAATCTTATTTTTCTTTCATTTATTATTATACAAAGTTGAATATAATTAAACTACATTGCATTATAAAATATATATTTATTAACAATGCGTTATATCTGTAAACTATTTCAAATTTTAACATATTATAAGAATAAAGCGTTTAGTATACCGTTTAACAAAAAATCACAAATAATTGCAGAACAGCTACGTGTTTTACTAACTTTTACACATATAATAAGACTTATAGCCAAGCACCTTGGCGTCGCCAAGATGACGGCAGTATGGGGAAAAGAATAAAAAAATAAGATTATTTTTGTGTTTCTTTTGTTTTAAAATTTGACGATTTTTTTATTGTCATTTGACGATTTTTATAGCATATTTATGGCTGAACTATGCTCTGCTCTATATTTAAAACAACAAAATGTCTGCGACAAAAATATCTATTTTTTTATGCGTAACGTGAAATCAATTTCAGTTTTATTTTTTTTCTAATTTTATGCGATTGCGAAAAATGATTTATACTTTTGATTGTTTTGAAAAAAAATGGAATTTTATTTTGTCGCTATATTAATATAGTATAAGAGACTTTTTCTTTTTTTTTTGTTTACAAGCATCAGGACTTGTGTGTGCAATATTACTTTCGTTATCAAATTTATAAGTTTTCAGTACTTATTAAATAAGTACTGAAAACTTATAAATTTGATAACGAAAGTAATATTGCACACACAAGTCCTGATGCTTGTAAACAAAAAAAAAAGAAAAAGTCTCTTATACTATATTAATATAGCGACAAAATAAAATTCCATTTTTTTTCAAAACAATCGAAAGTATAAATCATTTTTCGCAATCGCATAAAATTAGAAAAAAAATAAAACTGAAATTGATTTCACGTTACGCATAAAAAAATAGATATTTTTGTCGCAGACATTTTGTTGTTTTAAATATAGAGCAGAGCATAGTTCAGCCATAAATATGCTATAAAAATCGTCAAATGACAATAAAAAAATCGTCAAATTTTAAAACAAAAGAAACACAAAAATAATCTTATTTTTTTATTCTTTTCCCCATACTGCCGTCATCTTGGCGACGCCAAGGTGCTTGCTTTAGCCACAGTGAAGTAGCTGCATCAATCTCTGGGATTTCTGTTTCTGGCCTTTTGTCTAAAATGGCACCTAAAAATGCAATAATTTTTATATTTTATTAAATTTTATTAAATTTTTTAAATTATTTTATTATATTAAATTTTTATTTTATTTTTATTGATTAATTTATATTTATATTATTCTCTTATTTGAAACGATTCTTAGTTGGAAATAAATATAAGTTTACTTACCTTGAACAACTTCATACAGCATCAGCTTTTCGAAACATTTTTTGGATAAATGTTTACCACTTTTTAAAGTAAAGTCTGCTGCCAATGTGTTTGAAATAAGTTTCCTTAGTACTTTATATGTAGCTTCCTTAATATTGTCTTTAGGACCAATAATTTGACTCATGTAACAAATCTGGAAAAAATCAAAATTTAAGCAAAGAAAATTAAATATTAATAAATATTAAAAACAAATATACATATATATATATATAATAAAAGCGATAAATATTTATTTACAGTTGCACCAGCATTATCATCTTTCGTTAAATATTTTTCAAATTTTTCTAATTCTTCCTCTGTTGTCAATGGAAGTGCTGGAAGATCTGCTGGTCTTATTATTCTTTTCTCATGTGGTAGAAGAAAGCGATTTAATCTGCATAAATTCATAGTAATCATATCTAATTTGCTACTAATTTCTTGATTTAACGAATACATCTTTTTTTCAAAAGCTTTCATATCAAAGGTCGCTTTAGACACATCTAATACACTACCTGTAAGAAAATCAAAACGTAATATTTGATGCTTTAGAAAAAATTAAAAGGTACAAAGTCATATATGTTACTTGATCTACAAGATGAACTCGGTGTAGTTACAGCTGTCACATGTGAAGTAACTGGACTCTTTTGACGTAATTCTGATGGAGAAGTGCATATTGAAGATGATGATTTTTCATCAGATATATTTGCTTCATAAATACAGTAATCTTTTGATGTACCTGGTGTCTCTATATTTATCGATCTTGCACTTGTACTTGGAGATACATCTTTATTTGATGACATATTCTGAACTTTCATTGAAAAATCGTCCTCTCGTGGAATATTAGGATCAATATTTTCTTCTGTAGCATTATCAGAATCCATCTTTACACATGAAAACATTTCAAGACTTTATTTATACCAATAAAATTATGACTTACATCACATTGCATGTGCGACGTATAGAAATACTTACATTATCTTCTATTAAACATTTCTGTTTTTCTCTTGCAATCTCTATGATTTTTGTTTTGTTATCCGTAACTGAAGTTACCTTCCTTGCTTGACATATTTTTGTAAGTAAGAGATCCTTTTTAGATTTATGATTTTTAGAAAATGTCAACATTGCGTCATTTTTTTTTCTAATTGTTTATTTTTCTGTAATCTTTCAAATTTTTTTGTTTTGCTATCTGTGATAATATTGTTTTGATATTGTTTTACTTTATTATTTTCTGATCGAAACAAGATAAGTGGCGGAGAAGGAGCATGTTTAAATTTATATTTTTTTATAGCACTATCATCTCTATCAAAATCTGAATCATCAGAAGTTGAAATATTTTTAAATTTCTTCTTTTTTGTCACTTCTGTCGAGAGAGATTCATCACATGCAAACTGCCGCTTAATTTTTTTACGTTTACCACGACCAAATTCACACTCTGTTTCATAATTAGACGACATAATATATCCATTTCGTGCATTTCGTGCAGCCAAAAGTGTATCTAGGAAATACAATTAAAAAGACAATTAACTTTTTATAAGCAAAAAATATGCAATAAGAAACAACATACCATAACATTTTAAAACAGTAACATTATATATCGGCCATGAAGGAAGTGCATCTATTTCTTTTTTAATTGCAGTACTCTGCTCAGATTTAGGAGGCCAAGAAATTTTTGCATTTGTTTCTTCATCTAATTGTTTTAGCCATTTAATAAGACCAACTTCAAATAAAGAATCGTCTTCCTCGTCGCAATCAACATCTTCATTTATAAATTTCAAAACGACAAACTGAAAAAATAATGATTTTGATATGTAATGACTTAAAATTTTTCTAACAATAAAATACATAAAAGAATTAACTTTACATACACTTACAATTAGATACACAATATAGACGACATAATATATCAAAATTCTATTTGTAAAAGGACATAGTATGAAGTAAAGGTATGCAAACATATTCATCTTTTATAGGAATGAGCCAACATTTGGCAATAATATTATTTATAGAAAATACCAATCTTTCTTCACTTAAATCAGATACTTTGACAATGCCAAGTTCAGACGAATGCAAAGGATATGTATAAAAATCTGTAATATTTTTAAAAATATTGCCAACAAAAATTATATTATCCTGATTGCGAATGACATTTCTCAGGACTCCAATTTTACCTTCACTTGTTTTGAAGCATGAATCTCTATTATTTACTTCAAAAATAACATCATTTACTGAAATTTTTTTAAACTGTTCACCATAAATATTTTCATTGATATTTCTATGTTTTTTTGAAAAAATAATGTTATTTATATCAGAATCTAAAAGTACAACGTTTTTCTTACTTTGTTCTAGCTCACGTTTTGCTGCTTGTTGAATGGGTTTAAAACCAGATTTGAGGTTACTTTTAATCATTTTTAATTTGTTTTCATAACGAAAGGCACTAAATGTATCTAAACAACCATGATCAATACATTCTTGTGCCAAATGGCAAAGAGAGTGAACATTATATACAACAAATAATTTTCCAAATAATGTGATAGAATGTTGGATAAAAGTTCTGAGTAGAGTATTTGCATACTCGTTAAAACTTTTATAAAGAATGGGACTTGTAAGAATATAAATTCCACAATGCAATAATAGAAAGTGCTTATAAATATTTATATCAGGATGTGAAGCAAAAGCTGCTATGCCATCGTATAAACATAAACGACGGAATTCCGTTGCTTTGTAAAATGATAATTCATGTAAAGATCTGGGTTTTCGAGCAAAGTCCTGAGGACAAGAAGGGGCTAACAGAATCAGCCTATCAGATATTCTGTTTACAACAGTCCAGTGTAGTTTCCATGGACTTATCCAATTCTTCCATGCTTCTAATAATCTCTTAAACACACCTTCATATACCAAATGCATAGGCTCTAATCGAAACTGAGAGACCATTTTGGTATTAAGTTGAAGAAGAGGTGATACTCCTTTATGATGGCGAGGTTGCATTTGATTTTTAAAACTTTCGTCAGTTCTTAAAGGAGCATGTAAATCAATATACGTTTGCCTATAATCTAATCGTTCTCCCCATACTGTACATTTTTCACATGAAGCATATCCATTATGGCCTATACAACATTTTATTAATTCTCTAGCTGGAGCATCAAGAATATAATGTCTAATTAAAAAAATAAAAGTTTTTCCATATCGTACATAACCATTAGAAATTAGATTATCAACTTCAGTTACAAAATCTTGCAAAAACTCTTTCACATTATTTGGATCAGAATTCCCAAAATAAATAGCAATAATGAATGGATAATTTTTAGTTCCTACGAGATGTCCTAATATTGGCCAAAATTTTTTCTTTGAACTTCGAAAAAGAGGGAGTCCGTCAGTATTAATATCTATTTCAATTTTTTGTTTTACTTGCAAGTACTTTTTTAAATTAAGCCCATCCAAATAATTTTTAATTCCTCGATACCAAAATTGTCCTCTATTTTCAAAGTGAGTAATATGTATATCGTCATCAATTTTCAATAAAGTTTTATAACATTTAGGCAGATTATTAAATACAGGTTGAAGTTTTGCAAGTAATTCATCTATTTTTGACATAGAAATAACACCACCTGATAAAGCCCATTGACGTAAAGCTAATATTACATAATTTTCCTTTTGCTGATCATTTTCAAAAACTGTATTAACATTTTCATCTCCATTTTCACTTTTATTCGTATTTTCACTTTCATATATACTTTCATCTGTATTTTCACTCTCATCTATACCTTTGCACTTATTTATATTTTCATTTTCATCTCTATTTTCACTCTCATCTATACATTCATTTTCATCTCTATTTTCACTTTTATCTATATTTTCATCAAAACTCATGACATTAGAAAGTCTTTCGAAAGCTATATCTTCTTGAATCTCAAGTTCACTTTGAGAATAATGATTTAAATCTATTAATTCATTAAGTTGCAAATTTTCTTCTTCAGTCTCTTGAAATTGACAAATTGCTGTTGCTCAAACTATTGCACTTGAGTCTACATTTTGATTCTAATAATTTATTAACTCTTTTTAAAATATAATCTTGTCACTCTTTAACTTTCAACCTTTTTATAACTATGGTCTCAGCTCTTTCCTTCCAACTACGTTTATAACACTATATATATAAACAAAAAATGAAATAATTGACATGTGATAAAAAAATGTATAAAACTATTTTCTTTGTTTATAGAAACAATAGAATAGAACTGATTATATATATCCAACTGCTACCTTTTATTATTCAAAGCAAAAATACTTTTTTACACACTTTATCTGACAAATACGTGGAAAGCAACGTACAGAATTAAAAAATTTAAATATAAAAACTCTAAATCAAAATACAGAGAAAATGTTTATTATAGGTTACGTTGTCACAAACACTTAATAACCGCGCGCCTATATTTTGTATCCTATTATTATTTTATATAAAAATAATAACAATCAAGTGTAAAAAAATAGTACTTACCCGCTTAGTAACGTCAATATCCATTGTGATAATTAAAAATGCGATAATACACTTGTAACATAAAAGCAATATCCGCAACGTGCGCATTCACTCTAACGGATGGTCATACATATATATCATACATTACCCCCGATCTACGATCGTAGCGACGCAACTTAAGGGTATAACACACACATCGAAAGATTTTACCAATTGCCGAATCAAGCAATGTGAAAAGTGTGTTATAGCTTTTCTGACGCGCTGTTCAATCACGGGCCCGCAAGAATTTTTTAAGCGATTATAAATTGAATCATTTAGGCCAGATTCCACAACTCACTTTAATAACCGAAACTTAAATCGTTAAATCTAATCAGGATTGGTTCATAACGAGTTAGACTTCGGTTAAAGAGATCAACGTTGAATCAACGTTGCACTTCATCTGATTGGATGATTGATATTGCAGTAATATCAACTTTCTTATCGACTCAACTAGCTGTCAACCATATCGACGTTGAATCAACCTTGAATCAAGGTTACATTTCTGACTGGGGTGTCCTTCGTCGATAGCTATGATTTGAGAACACGCCAGATACAGAGCAGGGGCAGTGCCGTATGTCACTGTCAGTAGCCAATAGGATCGAAAGAGATCGTCGGCCTGAGATCGCCATAAAATTCGCGTAAAGGCGGCGTCATCCGGATGAATTCAAATTTGACGAAACATTTTCTCAATGTCGGCCGTATATACGTATTGAGATTGTTGCCATCGCAATATAATTGAGGATAGATCGCGTTGTAATGTCGGTCCGGTCATTAGGTGGTCATTTAAAGTAGACCCATTACTCGTTCAATACGACGCGTTAAACATTGCGCGGAGTTTAGTCGTACTGCTCGTTTCGCGTAAGACCGGATGATGAGAAATGTATACTGGAAGAAAGGGCGTCGGCCTATTTTCGGAGACTGTCTCCATATGCCCCATTGACTCGTACTCGCCTAAAAAATTATTATATTGTATTTTAAGATCAGGATCCTTTTGAAAGCGTCGCTTTAATTTTGAGTATAAGGTGACCGCACATTTTCGAGACAACCCGATTTCGATCGGAAGACCGAATTTAAATGATAATCGCACTACATATCGGCCGTCGGCGATGCGTTGATGAGAGGATCATCCTCTGATAACGACGGCTCGGAAGAGATCTCTTGAATCTCTCAGAATTTTTGCAGTAGCGTCTCCGATCGGAGGGATCGCGACGTAATTCAACGCGCTAACGGACCTAACCTAACCTAACGGAATCTGTAATTTTTAATTTTGATTTTCCGTGGGACCGGACAGAATCCAACCGAATACAGTTAATTGAGCGGTTGGAGATCCGATAGGGTCTTGCCTTAAATCTGGCAGTAACAGGGATCCGT